CTAATGTCTATTGGTCATTAGCAGGATAAAAATAAATAGATATTTCCTCTCCACCTTTGTTTCCAGAATACTTTTTCTGCTCTGGAAAAATAGATGATGTACTATTTTCCTGACCATTTATTGCACAGAAAACATACCCATAACTTTTGACTATGAAAGTTGATACTAATGATCCACCTTAATTTATTTTGAAAGAAATGCAAGATAGAAATAAAACTGTTGGAAGAGGAAGAATGTTGAGCTTTAATTCTATCTAATTCAGTTAGAACTCTCTGATTTAAAAAAATATTGAACTTTTATACATTTCATTTAACAGTTCTTAATCAATTTAGACACCTTCCCCCATCCAAATTCCCCAACCCCCCACCAGACCTCATGTATTCTGCCATACATATTAAGTCCTATCCAGTCAAGCATTTGTACTCAGATGTCATTCAGTGCAAAATCATCCACTGGAGTCTAGTCAGCTTATGTAGATATCATATATAATGTATACTCTCCCTCACCCATTAGTAATCATTCTCCAGGAGTTCTCATTGAAGGGCAAGCCCACCACCCATTTCTCTTGTTCCATCCTGGGTTCTTGTCTGATTGAGTTGACGTGGGTCTTTTGCTAGATACCACCATTGCTGCAGTTCACATGTATAAGCTTCCAGTAGCCCAAAAGCCTTTGCTTCCCTGTGTTTATGAATCAGCCTTGGCTCTTACAGTCTTCCAACACTTTCTTCCACAATGGTCCCTGAACCACTGGTGGGTGAGGGATATTACAGAAGTCCTATCCAGGGACACACATTCTTCAGTTTCCTATTCTCTAAAGACATGTTGTGGCCTTCTGTGTTCATCCCACTCTATTGTATAAGGAAGCACTGGTGAGAGTTGAGGGATGCATTAGTTTTCTCTCTACCCATCATTCTGCTATGTTCCATGAGCCTTATGTGTAGAAGTTTAACTGTAGATGTGTCACTTAGAATTGGGCATGTCTCAAATGTATATTCTGTGTCTGACCAGTTGTAGGATTCTGCAGTAACCTCCATTGGTGGCAGAAAGGTGTTTCTTTGATGAGTGTTGAATGATGTATTTATCTGCAAATATAAGGATCCATATTTAGCATAGAGTAAGAAATTTCATTTGTCTAGAGCTGTGACAGAGATAAGATTTTCTCTAGGATCTATGGCCTCTCCAACCATGTGTTTTTGGCTGTGTTTACAGTTCGCCCGTGAATTCCCTTCCGTTGAGAGGGCTTTAAGTTGAATTAGTCAGTTATTGATTACCCACCAGATAACAGTGCCACTTTTGCATCAATAGAGGTCATTTCCTGTGCCAGTCATTATGGTTATTAAACTTTAGGGCTGGGTTGGACCACTGATTGATTTTCTCCCTTAGCATTTTGCATATTATCATCTAGCATTATGAGATTAAACTCCAGGCTTCCAGGTCAGTTTCTGCTACAATGCTACAATCCTGTATCTGAAGTATGTACTGCCTTTAGTATGGTCTTGTCTTCTAGTTCTGGGAGATAATCAAGTTCTTTGGCAATAGCCTGTGTTATTTTGGGAGCCTTTTAGACTACTCTGTCTAACCACTCAAAGGGAGGTCTCTCAGGTCTGGCACTGTGTCCCTTGCCATAAGCCCTCAGGTGTACATATGCATTAATAGTCAGACACTTTGCACTTCTCAGGGGGATTGGGAGACATCATATTTCCCTCTGGGTTCTCTAGCATCCCAAGGTCCATACATCTCTAGGTTTGTTCTTCTTATTTGACATCCTTCCTCATTCCCCAGTCCCAGTACCCCCATTTCTTTTAATATTATTGTCACTACAAGGAAAAATAAAAGGAATAGAAATATGAAAACATAAGACTTGATAATGTTTATAGCACCTTTTTAAAACCAAATGCAACTCAATAACTTATATAATTTTATTCATTATTTAATCCTTTCTTTCCTAATTTACTTCATTTTTTATTTTACTTTTTTTAGGAATCTGCTTTATGGATTTCAGTTTTCTTGTTTCTAGCAGTTGATTGTCACTAGCCATCATTCTCTAGCTGTTTGATATTCATGAATGTCTCAAAAGAGCACAGTAAAGTAAGAGTGAGGTAGTGTCTCACATAGGAAACATTCTCAGTGGCTTAAATGATGAAGATTCTCTATGTTTAAGTACAATTTTGGAGAAAAATTAAGTATTCCATCCCAAGTCAATATTTAATATAAAACTAACTGCACATGCATGGTTTTGATTTTGTAACATGTTTGAGGTATGCTGAAATTCACTTATTTTGCATGGTTTTGTAATCATTAGCATAAATATTTATAAATTTCAGTAACTTGAACTAACACACAAAGTATAGAACTTCTTCAGCACTTCCTTTCCTATTGGACTTTGTAACTTGCTGAAATGTATAAAGAATGAATGGATACATTTAATTAGTTGTATTCTCATAAATTTTGCCATATTTTCTTTTTGCTAATTATGAGCTATAGGAGGACTCATTGATATTTCTGAATATTTGAGGGCTGTAGAACTAAACCAGTCTTTCCAAATTATTTTTAACGTGTTAAAAACCAATTGTCTTCAGTAAAACTGGGTATTTATTTATTAGAGAACACCATTATTCATTTTATTATTCAATAGTATAAGTGGCATATCATTGTAATTTGAGACATGAACACATTCTAATAATGCTGAGAACATGAAAGCTGAACATAGACCTGGGTCTTCATAGACTGTGTACCCCTGGCAGTTAGTTGTTTTCATTGTTCTTGCTTCATTTTTCTGATTGGTCATTAACTACATTCTTACATGGTCACTTTTGTAAGGAGTGTTTTCTCATGTCAGAAAAATAGCTAGTATTATTATTCATTAATAACTATCACTAGAGATAAGAATCACATAAAACTGAAGGAAATTGCATTTTCTAATACCAATTTTTAAAAAATATTTTTACCTTCACATTAGTAGAAACTGCAGAGTGAATGTGCTGGAAGAACCTTTTCGCTAACCGATAATGTCATATTCGAAGCACTGGTACCTATGGAAGCATAATAACATTTTATAGTGCTTACAATCAATCCAGGCTTGATAAGTTACTAACAAATAAATATGAACCTCATATACATTATATAAGTATATACATATAATGCATGTCTATATGCATTATAATGTTGTATGACATAAATGTGCAACATATTTCTGCCTCATGATTCTGTGTTAACCTTATCCCAGGGCTCAGGATGCTCAGGAGTCAGAGGTGAAAAGATCCTAAGATTTGCCAGCAAGCCTTGGCAACCTGACAAGACCTTGCTTCAAAAATTCAAAGTAACAGACAAAAATCTGTTAATACTACCCCATCTCCATATTTATGTTTTAGTTTCATAAATTAGTATTGAACTGTCTATGCTGATCTGACTTTAAATAGAAAGTTCCATGCATTTTTACTCAGCATGAATGAGAGGCTCCTGTCATCAATTTTTCTTATGACTTAATTTAAAAAATATGACTGTTAGTTTATTTTAGTTCAAGTGAACTCCTATATTGTTTAACTGTTTACAAAGGGATGATGTAAAGGTTTTCATGAATGCTACTTTAATGGATGAGAAGTAGCATTAGGAAAGAGCATTTGGGGATGCTCCAGTGTACAGGGACATGGGTGCTAGTGATATTAAATAGGAGGGATTTAAGAGTTCTAAATGTTCCATAACTCATGAGAAACTATTATACCAAAAACTTTCCTAGAAAAACATCAATAGTATCATTTCTGAGACTGTAGGTTAAACATGGTGTCTTATATAAGTACTGATCTTGCAAACTATTAATGCTATAACTTGACCTAGGAAATGGTAATTGGCAACCATTTTCATTTATTTTGTGGTATGAAGAGTACTTACTGTCTACACTCCATAGACTTTTTCCTACAAAAAATGGGTAAAACTACTAGATTTCATTGCATTCCTATTTCCTTTGCTCTTACTGGTTTTGTTCAGAGGACTCTTTTTTAGAGGAGAGTTAAATTGTTTAGCTCCCAAATTTTCCCAGTTGAATTTCCTTATAAGCACATTACATCAGAAAGAAGAAATACAGTCATTTAGGAATTTAAAACAGGATGCCAGTGGAGAATTTCCCCGTTTAAATGAGGAAAATTTCCAGCTGAGTAACCAAGTTGGAAGAATATATTTCATCTGTAACAGGAAGAAGAAGGCAGCGCACACAGGAGTGAATAGAATATATTTCATCTGTAACAGGAAGAAGAAGGCAGCGCACACAGGAGTGAATATAATATTTTATGTGAAAGAACTAAATAAAGAAAATCTGTAAATGTTGCTAAGGAAAACAATTCTCAGATAACAAGCCCCATTATCAAAGGAAACAATTCTCCCTACATATTTATAAATGCAGCACACGTAAAATTAAAAATACCAGTATAATACTTTGTAATATATAATACTTTGTAAGATGATCGAAATATATTGCAGGAATATAGAATATCAGT